TATATATATATATAGTTTGTAACCCATTATATAAGAGAGTTGTCAGGACCGGAGAAGAAGTCTCTTATATCCAGGTTTGGTCTATTTTGTTTAGGTAAGTATGGCTCTAATTTGGGACCAGAAAAAATCTCTTTTATAGCCGGGTTACACTGTACAAAGCACTGACTTGCATCCTTGAACTTCTTTTACAGCCCCACTCCAAATCATATTCATTTTTTTTTTTTTTTTTTTTTTTTTTTTTTTTTGCCAGTAATTAAAATATAGGTTTTACTCACTGGAGAACAATTTATGAATGAATTTATCTAGGATAATATTTGTGGTAAATAGACTCCCAGAAGCTGAAATTGTCATATAAAATGGGTATGATTCTTGACATAAAGCTATTTCAGTTTTGTCTCTTCAGTACTTCCACATTTTGGGTGTATCTATTTGCAGTCTATCGTCTGAATATACACTGACGTATAAAACCTTTTGGGTTACCTTGACAAATAAATTACTCTTGTTAATTTTACTTCAAAATTTAGTGATTACAGTATGCTTTCCTTCTTACATCTTGTATTCTGAGGGCTAGAAAACAAGTTTCTTTTTGTTTCATTGATTCTGAAAAAACTTACACATATAAGCTCTTAAGTTAAAAGGAACTTTTTTGGTAAAAGTAATCTTTATTACAGAAAGTATAAAGCTTCAAAGTATGGAATTAGTAATAAAGTTTTACTGATTGAATTGCCACAATTCAATATGGCGTTGAATGGAAAAAGTACAGGTTTTTCACTTTAAAAATGTTCCGATTCTTAGTAGTGATCCCCAAACTCTTGGAGATTGCATGGTTTTCGTTAGTATACTTATCTTTTCAGTTCCCATCACAATGGTTAAATGGTACTGAGATCAAGACTATGCTGACCAGTCATTCAAAGGCTTAACATCTTTACTCAAAATAGACCTTTTTGTTGCACATAGCGTATTGCAAGGAGCACTGTAATTCTGAAAGATGTTTCCATCTTTCCAATCTGGTAAGAAGATTGGACCGTAATAAACGCATATCATTTTCGTGGATTAGGTTTTTGTCAACTTTTACCAATAAAGTCTTAGATTTATTGTATTTTTATTTTACAATTCGTAGCAGGATTTCTGTAACTGGAAGTTCTGTTTGAAAAAGAAATTCATGATTTAAACTTTATAAGGACGTTTCCTTATTAATATACACATTAAGCTCTACAAAAACAAAAAAAGAATTACTCGAAATTTCATTAAATAAATGGACTGGGAGAAACATTAAAAAAGAAAATTTGAAACATTTTGTTTAAAAAAGAAGGAGCATTTCAAAGTAAATTGATTAATTTCTGAATAGAGAATTTTTATTAAAATTTAAACATTTATCTGATTTTTTGCAATAATTTTAAAATCAATTCTTTTCTCAAATTTTCCGTACACGTTTATGGTCCCGCATTGACGCCGAAAAACAAACAAGATTTTTTACCAAAATATTCAATGTTCTAAAAAAACAAAGATCAAAGAATAATTTTCACTAGAAAAAAATCTTTTGATCTTTCGTCTTCATAATAAATAGGTTTTGACGATGACATTTTATTTTTATGTTATGTTCATTTTCTTTTTATATCCTGTATTTTTAAAGGTATCTAAATATAAAGGTTGGTCGAAATCTTATCATGCCAGTGTATATAATTACTCTGGGGATTAATAACCCACTCTCTATACATATCATCACCTACATTTGTCGATATTAGGTTAATTCACATGTGGGGGTGGTGGCTCTGATATTGCATAACAATTCAGAACTACTTTTTTTTCTTGTTTCTGAATACGTAGTTTAATGGGGGTTTTTTTTTTTTTTTTTTTTTTTTTTTCCTTCTGGGTTTTCGGTTTTCATCTTTCGCTATTCCAATGCGTCTTCGGATTTTGGTGTCACACTTTCTCCCCTCTGTTGAAACGCTTCCCTGATATTTAAATTGCTATACTCGTTTGATTTTTGAATATCAATTGGCAATTTAGATGTTGGGTTGTTCTTTCTACTATCAACAAATTTATTCTGTCTTCTTGCAGTTGTTTGTTCTTTTCTTATCGCTTTTCTTCATTACCTTTTGTACGAGTTCTTGTTTCTTTTCACTGTCTGCTGTCAACACTGAGTCTTCTTCATATCTTGTATTAAGATTCTGAGCGACAATAATGGATCCTGGTAGGACTTCTAATTCTCTCTCGCCTTACTCTACAGATCCTTATCTTGCATCCCTTCCTATTTTTTTATATTTATTTACTGAATTCATTTTTTATTCGTATGTAGGCAGTTTGCTGCCAGTACGGGTTCTTGGTTATTCTAATCTCCTTCCCAAATATATCAAGATTACCTAGCAGTTGCAATTGTTCTTTGTAGCTTACTTTAAAACACAGGTAACATACTTCTGTATTTGTATTGCTTTTTCTGGTATCATTCTGAGTATAAATATTACATTTTTTTTTTTTGTCCCATTGTCTTTAATAGATCCGTACTGTTGTCTTATTTCTGGTCAAAATCTGCTGCACGTTCTATTTAACAAAATTCGGATAAGTTTTTTATATGGTCCATTAGTCTAATTGTCCGATAGTTCACATTTGTTTGCGCTTGGCTTCTTAGGTCGTGCTACAGACCTGATGATAAACATTGCGAAACGGTTTGTTATATAAAGTTTTAAATACTTTTTCATAACATTTGTGCTTTAAAATAATAGGAATTAAAAAAAATCTGATATAAAAATCAATTACTGACGTTATGCTGAAAAATTATTTGTTTTTTGCTTTTTTCGTTTGTCTACTATTTTTTTGCCCTTTCACCAAAATTCAAATTTTCAGAGAATCTTTTTCCAATGTGTATTATCAAACCCATTTTTCAAATTCATCTTTCTCTCAAAAACCAGTAATTGATTTGAATGACACTTTCGATATTTAATCATTGAATACTGAGGTTATTTATTTATGGAAATGTCAGTGTAATAAGAAATGGAAATAATTGTTGGGCAATTAGCCCACCCATTTGTATTGCTAGCAAGCACAAATTGTTTGTTTGGGGTGCAAGATTCATGTGTTTGTGTAGAAAGGGAAAGCAAAAGACAAGTGAATGTATATGGAGAAGTTTGTTTTTTTTTTTATACTTCATCTAACCGATTCTTTTCAGAAACGATTAAAGTATTGTTATAATACTTTATTAAATAAAAAATAAATGCAAACCGTTTTCCTAGATAATAACAATAGCACATTATCCTTCTATGAAAGTGAGAAGTGGGGTAGCCTAGAGGCCAGATAAAAATCGGTGCATGCCCTCACCGTAGATCGCCAAAGAACCAGCTGATTTTTTCTTTGTTTTGCTTTTATTTGATTTTTTTCATATATATATTACACTTTTTAAAAATTTTTATCATGCTATTATCGTCCTGAATTAAGTCCTTTTTTTTGTAAAAACATAAATCCTGAAACTATATATATATATATATATATATATATATATTGACGGGGAATTAATGTCCTGGAATGAAAAAAAAAGTAAGTATCAATAAAAAGTAAAATATTAAATTTTTCGGCAATATTTCAGTTCTAGATGTTGAAATATATTCCATACTTAGGATATATAAAAGAAAAAATATTACTGTTAATATTGTTTTTCATCGCGACGATCAGATACGCTTAGGAAAAGCAGTTAGGATTTTATCGCCCGGTTACTAAGCAAGGCGATAGACAAGACATTTTTTTCTATTTTCCCACAACTAATTGATTTATTGTTTACATGAAACAGTTGATTTAAATTTACTAAACAACAATTACAAAATTACTATCATGCTCGAAAAACAAAAAGAAACATTTTAAACTCTGCCATAGAAAATTAATCAAATTCTTTCCTTTAAAAGTTAATTAGTAATCTAGCAATAGATCGCTACTGCGTAGTCGAGCCTGTTTTTTTGTTTTGAATTCTCTGTTTTGTATCTTTATCGTTTACCGATAAATATGAAATGATATTTTCATCTGCCAGCTGTGTTTTACTAATATAGTGTGGCGGACTTCACCACATTAATTTAACTTAGATTAAGAAACAATGATCACGCAGAAAAGGATAACTAAAAGACATTGCTACACATAAAACATGTATTTAACAAGATGTACAATATCAAACAACGATATGAAGGAGAGCCTGCATTTAAGTAAGAAAAGGTTGAATTAACCAAGTGTTGTCTCTCTTTAACTGTTAGTGTTTCAAAGTTCACTCGAATAATGTTCATGGGTCTCTTGTAATGATTGTTCTTGAAAGATATTGCTGTGTAAGAAGAGTTTATGTGAGTGTGTACAAGGTATGTTCAGCATGTGAGTGGTGTGTGGGCGAGAAAGTTGGCGCATGGTTTCAACTGTCTTGGATTCGTTTGGCAGTTGAAATCTCATTAGTTGGGATTAGAAAAATCTTGGCTTAAATAAGCGACTATAGCCTCCAAATCGTTGCGCGGGAAAAATTATTCTTCACATGCAAACGATCTGATTGGTTGGCATCGACCAATCAGCGAATTTATTAAAAAATGAATACTTGGTTTAAATGTGCCTGTATAATTTGTACGTAATGAATGCTTGGCATTGTATGTGATTTGTATTTTTGTACGTGTGTATGTTCGTTCGTAACAGATCCGCACAAGAACACACATAATGCTGACTCGGTTGGGTCTTACCTAAATCACAATTTATCTAGATGCTTTTTCGTTATTCGTTCTAAAGCTGAGTCATGACCGATGCAACGATTTGATGATTGAAACAGTATTAACCTTACCTTACTCACTAGGTGTGTTCGAATCCATCTGTAACCATGAATTCAAAAAACACCCAAGCTGGAAAACCGTTCCGAAAAAAATGTCACTACAAAAACATCCAACTTCCTCGTTGTTAATATATACCTGCATTTGCAATGACCAAATTACCCAATAAAAAATGAATGTATACATTTAACATGTTTGATGGCTAAAACGTTTACTGCTTACGGCCGCATCACGTTGGAACACCGGTTCCTGTACGATCACCGAAGTTAAGCAACGTCAAGCCTTATCAGTACCTAGATAGGTGACCGCTTGGGAATACTAGTTGCTGTAAGCTTGGATGTGCAGGTGGTGTAATTGATAATAGGTCAGAATTGTTAATCGGAGAGTCGAGTTCCAATTCCAGTTGGGTTCGTTATATTCACTTACACGCAAAGACCCCTGGGATATGAATGAATCTTTCTGATCCTAAGTATAAGTGTTCGTGCGATGCATTAAGTTTTTAGGTATGAAATAATCAAAAAATGTAATTTTTACTTGAACTTAACAAAATATCTATTTTTAATATGAGAGGTGCTGCTGAAAAGTTTTCGACCAAGAAGTTACTCCGAAAAAAGTTATTTAGGCATTTGGTCTGATATGGGGAAGTGGGTTGAGCCGTGAACTTTTCAGCACTCTTCGTATTATTGATACAGTTTGTTGCTTCCTAAAGCAACCGAAGCTACAACCACGGTTCAAAAATCCTAAATATTCACGGAGTTTACACATGTTCAGTAGTTTAAAAAAATGATAGGTTTTCTTAGTCTTTTCAAAGTACAACTATTTTTTTCTTGCGGCCAAAAATAATTTTGCTAATTTTTACATTGGATTTACTTGTTTCACTTGACCTGTCGTGAATGAGAAGCCTCGGCTGCTTGTCTCATAAAAAAAGGAAACACGGTGAGGAAAAATATCTTTTCTTTTATACAATCAATGAGACGAACGTATTCAACCTAATCCCCATCTGCCGAAAAAGATCTTATGTTTTCTGGCTCGCTTCGGTGAGTTTTCATCTAATGAAACATGACTGTTTAGCAAGACGAAAATATATCCCTACTCTTGATAAGAAAATAAATTTTGGGCGCTGGCCAAACGAAAAGAAAAAGTAGAAAGTTAAATTCTGAAAAGGACAACAAAAGACATGGACGACATGAGACAGCAACCGGAAGTAGCCGGCATTATTGAAGGCCAGCCATTATCTATAGCCTCGCGTTCTTTTATACTTTTTTCTTCTAAAATGTTCCTACTCACAACTTGTTTAATTTATTTTCAATAAAGGATTTTTTTTTAAATGTTATTAATTTCCGACGAAGGAATCAAATTAGAAGTTCATTTTTGCTTATTCATTTTTTTTATCAGCTTCGTGTGTTTTTCAAGTAGTTTTCATTACCAATCGTTGTTTCTTGATCAGTATGTCTTCTTTTTTACATTACAATCGTGATAAGTTTGTTTATAGAAGGTTTCTTAAAATATTGCTAATAATCAATGTCCCATCACGAAAGGAAGTTACATACGTGTTGTCATCATGATAGTCTTCTAAGGAAGAAAGGTTGAATATCACGTCTGTTGACGGGATGTCCGTATTTCCGACAGTAACAGTCCCTGCTGCATAACAATTGGAGAGTACTTACTATTTTATTCATTGAATTTATTTAACTGAATTTTCAATTTATTTTTATTTATACCTATTATTTTATTTTTATTTTTAAACAACAATGTTCACACACATCTGAAACAGGGATATATATATTAAAAAGGTTAAACACTAATATATATATATATATAATATATATTTTACGACAGATTGCACAGCATCCATAATTTAAATATTCCTTCTTGATGGTAAATTACTGACTTCTAATATAATGTTTCTGTTCAAATGAACCACAAGTTTTTGATCGAGTTATTCCATCAAAGAAGCTCACCACTTCACTAATTATCTATGAAACCCATTTTATTCAGATATTCATTAGTCTTTTTCACTGAATCTGATGAAACAGTGTCATGCATGAAAATGCTTTAAGCTGAACTATAGATCCATGTGTGCTCTTCAAATCAGAGAGCTGAGTTCCAATTCCAGTCTGATTTGTTTTATTCACTTGTATTATAAATACTTTTGGGAAAGGTAAGAATACTCATCCTCCCTGATATGGGTTAATTAATAGAACTTGTATCAGTAAATAATTATCTCCAATCTTACAATCTAAAAAATATTTTCTGGCTTTTAAATAACCTGCAAAAGTTAAGCCTTAAGAAAAAGAAATCGCTCAATCAATTAAAAACCATCTGAATTTGTCTTAGGGCTCATAACTTCACATAATGTAATCTTGCCCACAGAACATCACCCCAACCATGCCTTGTTGATATTTCAACCTGTGAGGGCTGTTTTCACCAGTAGCCTTTGCCTTGTCGACAACATGTCATTTCTTAGTGAAAATATGGTTGAAAATCAGTTTTGGTGTATATGTACCATTTTATTTGATTGTCCTTAGGGACATCTTTTAAAAGAAATCCAGTTTTCTATATTTTTCAACTTGATTTAGGGTCAGATACATTGACCTTTTGACATTTTCTTTGCTGCTACAAGATTTCACAAGGAAAGATGTTTTATAACCATTATGATAACACTGCAGTGATATTGTCTGCAGATGAAGAAGATAAAATCTCAATTTTATCAAATATGTCTTGAATCATCCAGGATCTTCAACAAACTCCTTCAAAGTTTGGTGGTTCCTGTTGATTATTTTGCAATTTTCAGCCTTTTTTTATTTTTGGCAAACTGTACAGCAATTGAACCTTATTCATCAAATCAGCCATGCACACCATTTTAAAGATTCTAACTTGCATGTTCAGTAATTAGAATTGTGCAGGTAGTGTAATGGTGTGAAAAGAGACTTGGCGTGCAGGGTTCAAATTCTGGCCTTGTGTCTCATGTTGACCTTGATATCTTGTTTACTTTTAATTTTTTTTTTTCATTCTCGCCTTTCAAACTTAGGAATTTGAATGATATAAATTATTAATAATTAATTCTAATATTTTAGGAAACAATAATTAAATAAACAAATTTTAACACACAATTTTGAATCTTCACCACAAGAATTTTAACTCCATGACCTGAAGATTGCAAGAACTGTATGAAACTACAAATCATGCTATCGCTATTGAATATTCTGTATATTCACTAATATATACTTATAGTTCCGCCACATAACATTGAGCACTGTATTTATAACACCTGAAGTAGAAATATTTATACATATGTGCAAGTACATGTGAGTGTTTGTATATTTTTTTATCATCCCCATATATATATATATATATATATATATATATATAGTGGACTTTGATTGATGCAGGCTGTTGACCCTTGCCTACTGAGGGACCCTTTTTTTACAATGTATCAGGGTCAGGCACCTGAATTCTTAGGAACCACAACCTGCACACACGATTCTAGTGGTGATGGTTTTGTGCAGAACCAACCACACTTTTTTGAAGGGTCGAAAAGCAGAGACCTGGTGCACTGTGTGTCACAAAGTCCCCAAATGACCCTCTGCAGGTTTTGAATTCAGAGTTGTCCTTCTCCCAGATCAGTTGCCTTCATGTCTATAGAACCCAGTCTGTCCTGCCTATTTACCCATAGATTCCTCAATCCAAACTGCTATCCATTACTCCACCATGCCTCCTATATATATATATATATATATATATATATATATATATATATACACACGCAGTGTATGTATTGTATATGTTAGAAATGTTTGTACATTTGTACCATATATAACAACATGAGGTAGCTTCAAAACTAATGCTTCTTATGTTACATTGGCTCATGATATCAGATATGAGTCTGTCCGAGAACTGGTGGCGCCAAACGCACCTACTGGTTGAGGAAGCATGCAGGTGGTCAACTCAAGAAAAGGCTCAATTAACGTCAAGCAGATATGGAACTGTATTCCGTCCTTTATTTTAGTGTTCACGTGAGAAAATGGCATTTGGTTCAAATTGATTCTGCTGAAGAATGTTCATAGAGGGTCTCTATGTATTAATTGTTCTTGGAACCGCTAACCCACCCCGGTGAATGCCATTACAAGAGAAGATATATGAATTTTTCTGCCAATAACTCATATTTTCTGTTTTGTTTGCCTTATTACAGACAGCATTTTGCTGTTTCTATGGTTTAGGGTATGTCATTGAATTTTTTTTTTTTTTTTTGTATAAAAATGTCATGCATATTCATGGGCACTTGCTGAATATTTATGGAGACCAGCAAATGTTGCACAGATAGGAGTAAAATTATCTCACTAGTGGTCACGATAGTGTTTATAAGAAACCAGATTCTGGGAATCTCTGCATAGAAGTTAACATTCAAAATCTCTGCAGAATATGCACAAAAAGTGTAGAAAATAGACTTTTTATAGCAGAAAAACTTTCTCAATCCAGTGGTTTTTTAAATTGCCTGAAGTTGTTGTTGTAAAATATTAACCAATGAATGAAGCATTGTAGAGCATCTTGTGTCTGTCTGTCTAGAGGCACATATACAATATTTGTTAACTTACAATAAAATCAGCTTCCTCTTACAATCTTATTTTTATAACAGAAAGTATCTAGTGTTTTTCTGTTAAGATATCAAAGTGTAAAGTTTCTATAAAACAAAGCTGAGCTTACCTGAATTGGTGTAATGGACTGATTATTAATTTTGGAAATTATTTGTCTTTTTAGTCTTTTTTGTTGTTGGAAAACCGTAATTATGAAATAGAATTAAAATAGAAATCATTGCAAGTTTTATATATAATATATATATATATATATATATATATAATATATATAATATATATAATATATATATATATATATATAATAATTAGAAATCAGTGCAAGTTTTATATATAAAAATATAAAAATATATATAAATTTAATGAAAAACAGACCACTTTTAAGGTACCATTACAATAATTTATTTCACCAAAATCCTTTTTTGAAGGACTGATCATCCTTGGAATTACCCATTCAATTTACTAAGTTCTTCAGAATCTATATATATATATATATATATATAAAACCATAATGAGGATTCACAAATTTTGATTCATCTATTCATTGATAGATTCAGTAAAATAGAACTTTCATATTATTCAATAATAAATCCTTTGAAATTCAAGGATGCATTAAGTTTCTCTCTCTCTCACTAATCAAAATGTAATATATTACTTGAAACATTAACATAGGTATCTATTTTTGGAAATAGATGCCCTGAAATTTATTAAACCAGATTGCATCAATAGGCCTGCCTAAT